ATTTAGAACCGGCGGGCATGGCTAAACACACGCACCTTCATTGCATACATATGACAAGATCTACGATCCACACCATGCTGTCAACGTTTGAAAGTTGGCTATTCGCACCCAGATTGGAAGATCGCGCGCGAAGCGAAGTGGTGCCATGCACGCGGGAAACCAACGAGCGCGACGCCGCGAGCCCGCGCGTACGATGCAGAAGTTGGTGTCAATGGACAACCTGACGTCAGTCTCCAGTTGCGTTGCCCCCGATATTATTGTCCTGCCATTTCGCTACCGTACAAGTGCAGAACCCGTGGCAATGGATACACACTATATGCAATATGAGAGGTTCCAACACGCTGAAATCGACATACTGTACGAGCTGGCCTTGAGGTGCCACAAATGACGTCGCGTGAGCTTTGTGGCGTCGCCGTCGTCTTCAACACGAGACCTGGTGGTGCCGAGAACGATCATGAGGTCGCGGTCCATGCTCGACGGGCCGTGTCTCCCGTAGCGCCCATATCGGGCGATCGACCATTATTCTGTAGCAAGTGCAATCTGCAACTGACTGTGAACGAGCCATATTCGGATACACTGTTAAGAGTTGCTGTGGTCCTTCTACGCGGAGATATCAGGCCAACTCGGCTAGTTACCTGGAGCCAACCTCAAAATGGGAAGCGCGATGCAGTGGCGCCACGTCATTGCACAGTCATCGATACACACCTCGAGGCCACGCTGCAGCGATTCGATCTGAGCTGCATCCTACAGTACGTTGGTCGAGATTAGGGCCATGGGCTCTTATCTAATTTCAAGATGTGTTCCAGCTTCGTGTTCAGGGACCAGTGCGCAGCACAGCATGGAGTTGCCGGAAAGACCAAGACAGGGACTTTATGATCTGGTTACTACGTACGTACTGTACTCATGCACAAGCAATCGATCACGTCCGACTTAGCTAGTCACGGGATGGAGCTGTCAGGACGATCACGTAGAGTCGTTGTTAGTACCATTGGTAGTCGTGGGGTGGCGTCGACGACGTGCGCGTGGCCAAGGCGTCGGTCGTCGCTTGCGCATCGTCGAGCGCCGAGCGAAGCATGGCGTTCGTGGTCTCGAGGTGCGCGATGCGGGCGAGAAGGTGCGTCATGATGGTGTTGCTAACCGCTGCGTCTTGCTGGGTGCGGTGCCCCGAGCGAGAACGATGGCGACGACGCTTCTCGAGGTGGCGGATGGTCGCGTCGCGACGGGCCACACGCATTACCGCGGCAGCGAGCTTCTCGCGCAGCGAGTGCACGGTCATACGGTACGCATTCATCTCTTCCACGCATGGCGGCGCGTGCAGTCGAGCAGACGCTTCCGCAGTGCAAGAGAGGCTTCGTCCACGCGCACGCACAGGCACCAGGAAGCCCACCACGGCTTCGGACGCGACGTTGGACATCGACGTATGCCCTTCCTTGGTGCATGTCTCGTTGGAGCCCGTTGCACGACGCGCATGACTGTCGATCGATGCCGTCGCGGTCGAGGCAGCCGGTGGCGCACGGGGCGCGGTATCGCGAATGTAGAGCCGAGCGGCCATGGACGCTAGGTCCGTAGCGGAGTCAATCGTCAAACTGGGTTGGGCCATTGCAGGCAAATCGCGGAATGCGCCGATGCTAGAACCCTTTCGATCCCTCCCTGTCGCTCCGGAAAGGGCAGGCATGGAACCAAGCGGCTACGCGTCGCCGGCCTGCGCGTCCGAGGCAATAGACATATAGAGAGGGAGGCGAGGCCGAGCGCGTGCGGCGACTGACGCCGGGCGGCTCCATGGAGCATGGAGGTGGATGGCGGCCGAGTCTGCGGCTCGCGGATCTCGACTGTGTGGAAAATGGAATCGACAAGCGGATTGGCTGCTTAATTATAATATTTTGGCCAATAAACAGTCGTTTGTGGCGCACCTCTCATAGTCAATGGTTTGAAACATGTATTTGCACAGGTTTGGCGACGAGCATCATTTCTGCAGTTCGTTGTTGCAAGATGCGACGGATGTGTCAACCTGCCCTCACTCTATACCATATATATAGACGTGTCGTCGACTCTGCGCCGGAGTGACTTTGAGATAGCAAAGGTACAAGCGTGTCGTTCGTCGTTGCTAGCGCTCTGGGCCCCGAAGGTGCCAAAGAATGAAGATGATATGCGTCTACCACGGCAGTGCATTCGGGAAGAACTGCCGATGGAGTGGTCATGAGCTCGGACTTGTCTGTGAAAGTGTTTCCAGGCTTTTCTAGGTGCATAAATTTACGATTTATCCACAACGAGGTTGCCTTGTATTGACTTGACTGACTGCAAGGATCCGAACTAAATTGAAAAGCTCATGCCGCACGGTGCTGCTGCAGTAGTCGCTGGACACGGAGCTAGAGCCATACAACTCTCGCACCCGGTGCGTATACGTATACCACATCCAACCACGTCGATGACACGCCTTGTTGTCGGTGTGTTTGAGCTTTCAGCAAAGTTTGACGAGCAGACTCGCGAGAGATTTTTGTGGTAGACTGGCAAGCCGCCGTACCATCGGCGTGGCGACGTCACGTGTGTTGATGGCAGCATGACGAGGAGCTTGTCGTCGATTGCCGAGTCGAGCGACCGGGGCTCGCTTGCTTGCGAGGAGCAGCTACAATGCTTCGTTCCGTATACAGCAGCTTGTGCTAGTGGAGCCATCTACACCCGGCGGCCGCCTTGAGCTATCGCGGATTCGAGTCTCTTGACAGTGCTCATGTGCAGAGTGGTGTGAGAAGGGTTGTTCGTCGATGGCCGTCGCTGCCGTCGCGTGACGTCATGAGCATCAAGATACCCGATGCTGGCATTTCATTGGCTGCATATTTGTCGGTTAGAAAGCTTCACTAGCGGACTTGAAGTTGGCTGCATACGTAAACGGTCGGCCGTTGATGTCTGCGGTCAATCCTCATCTTCCAAGCCGCTCCGATGCTCGCCGCCCGCTTCGCCTCGCTGCGCTCGCCGCTCGCGCGCGCCTTCTCGTCTAGCTCGGTGCAGGAGCTCTTCCAGGCCAAGATTGCGCTTGGGAAGACGCTGCCACCCCTCGACGACAACGCGACCAAGCTCAAGATGTACGCACTCTTCAAGCAGGCGACCGAGGGCAGCTGCACGTCGCCCAAGCCGGGCATGCTCGACTTTGTCGTACGCCATCTAATAGACGCGCGAGCGACGCCTCTCATGCAAAGCAACGTAGGGCAAGGCCAAGTGGGAAGCGTGGACGAGCCTTAGCAGCCTCTCGCAGGCCGACGCCATGCAGCAGTACTGCGCGCGACGAACCCTCGTCGTTGTCTAACGCTGCATGCAATAGGTACTGCGACTTTATCGATGGCTTGGCGGCTGACGCCGGCGTCGGCGGCGCGGCGGCCTCGACGCCCGAAGCCGATCTGCTCTCGACGCTCAGCGCCGACGGCGTCCTCACGCTCGAGCTCAACCGCCCGAAAAAGTTCAACGCGATCAACATGGCCATGTACGAAGAGATCATTGCCGCGCTCACCAAGGACGACCCGGCTGTCCGTGTCATTGTGCTCCAGTCCAAGGGCCCCATGTTCTCCAGTACTCTTGCATCGACTGCGAACATTACATGATGCTCCATGGTCTAGGCGGCAACGACCTCGCCATGTTCAACCTCAACTACCCTGGCGGCGTCGAGAAGCTCGCGGCCGACGCGGCCAAGATCCTCGAGCGCTTTGTGGATGCGTTCTTGACGTGCAACAAGCCGATCGTTGCCGCGGTGCACGCGCCAGCCATCGGCATTGCGGTCACGATGCTCGGCCTCTGCGACTTTGTGTTTGCCCACGAACGCGCGACGTTCCAGACGCCGTTCACAGCCCTGGGCCAAGCCCCCGAAGCGTGCTCGTCGGTGGTCTTCCCCGCGCTCATGGGCCGCACGCACGCCAACGCGATGCTTCTTCTCGGCCAAAAGCTCTCGGCGTCGACGGTATACATTGCTCGTAGTTGGTTGGTTGGATGATTTGTTTCTTGGTGTGCGTAGGCGGCGCAGCGGGGGTTGGTCACGGACGTCTATGGCGCCGATTTTGACACGCAGGTCGCGGGCCATGTGCAGTACGGCGCGTGCTTTTTTTCGTGTAAGCGGCATGTGCATCCTCTAGGACGCTGGCCAAGGCATACCCCAACTCGATGAAGCAGTCCAAGGCGCTCATCCGTGGCATCGACCTCGCGACGCTCCAAGCGGTCAACAAGTAGGGCGACCGATCGCTTTAGAGGTCTCATCATCGATCGGGTGGTAGAACCGAATGCAAAGTGCTCCAGAAGCTCTGGCTTTCGCCCGAGTGCTTGGACGCCGTGAGCAAGTTTTCGAGCCGCAAGTAGTTGCCATGCATTGGATGTTGCAGCAAGGGCATGGAGCTCGACAGCCAGTAGTCCCAGCGTCTTCGTACGGCGGTTCCAGTGGTTTACGCGAACGAGTAAATAATCAGCTTGAATGCGATGGCGCACACGATGATGGTGTCTTTAATGACGGCAAGCACCACAACGCACTGCAATCCGGCTTGCGCCATCCCTACGACGCCTCGCCTCCGGGACGGCTACACCTGGCGCTGCCGTCACCCGCAACAGGTAACGAGTCGAGCATGGTCGCCATCAAAGCAGTTCCACGTGCACAGAATGTCCAGCAGCAACTCCCTTGAACAACAGCAAGCGGTAGCCGCCAACGAACGACCAGCTGTGTTGGATTTGACGGTCGCGATGAAATATAAACGTATCCTTGGACGTGACTCGCGCTGCACCCACGTCGCTTGAAGCCCTTCAAGGCAGCTTCAAGCTACATGGCCTGGCAGACGACGCGGGGATGTGTGGTCCCGACTACGGTAGTACGGTTTGCGATCACGTGCGTGCGACAGCTGCTGGTCGTGACCAACAGCCACTTGTCAGCAGATGGTCTCCATGCGTTGCGAGAGACTGCACGTACAATCTTCAACTGCGCGTCGAATCTCGTTGGCGAGGACGAGACACCGCAGCTAGTACGACGACGCGTCATTGAAGCATGGCCGCCTCTACGTATTATTGCGTGATCGCAGCCACCTTCTCGGTGATATGATGTGCCAGCTGCGTCGACTCACGTGCCGACTGCAATGCGTTGGCGTGGATGCAAAAATGGCGTTTAGGATAGACACCCTGTAGCTCACAACGGCAAGAGCCGCAATTTGATCCAGCGGCTTCGAATCCCACGGTCGAATGTACTACGTTCGAGTACATTAATCACTCAAGTCGGTTCCTTCCTGTTGCAAGCGCGGTATCCCACGCACAGTAGCCTTTCCACGATCCCTTCTTCCCGCTTACTGTAGTCCATGCAGACGTCGCGCGCACTTCAACAGCGTGCCCTTTGTCACCAGCACAAGGTTGACGTCCAAAGGGCGTCTTGGCTCATGCCTGCCGCGCCAAATGCTGGCCACGTTCGTTGCAGGCGGCTGTACCGCAGTACTAGCTCAGCTGCCATATCCAACAGGTTCTTCGAATGCGATCGCTTGCTACTTGTACTGTGGTCCTCCACCCCACCTCTACGTCCCAGATTGCCCTTTGTAGACAGGCGGTGTGTTGCTGTCTCGTTCGTGCTCTCCCAAGCGACATCCATTTTGACGTTCGCATGGACAGTGGCAAGGGCATCTATCTGTTCGACGCCGACGCGCTGGTGACGCCAACGCCCAAGCGGCAGACCGAGTTCACAACACCAACGCGCGACCGCCGCGGGTCTCAAGGCCTTCTCAGCGTCGTCTCGTCTACGAGCAGCCACGGCCGCAAGGCGCCCCCGCCCGAGATGTACAACGTGCGCACCAACTTTAAAACCACGCCCAACCAAAGCGAGGCATCGTTCCCAGCGACGCCGCCGGTGACGCAGCTCGACTTTCACGGCGACCCGATCATGGAAGAAGAGCACAAGTCGTCGCCAATGCACCCGACGTATGCCCGCAAGACGGCCGGTCTCTCGTCGTCGCTCTGGATTCTCATGGCGGCGGTGCTGGGCATCGGGCTAGGCCTCGGTCTCGGCAAACTCGAACCGTCCGCCGACACGCTGGCTTGGATTGCGCTGCCCGGTGACCTCTTTGTTCGCGCACTCAAGTGTCTCATTGTGCCGCTTGTGTTTTGTACTATGACGGTGTCGATCGCCGAAGTCATCGAACTCAAGCGCACGTCGCTTCTGACGTGGCGCACGGTTGGCGTCTTTCTGCTCACGTCGTTTCTCTCGGCGTGCCAAGGCCTCGGCGCCGCGCTCGTCTACCGGAGTCTCCTCACGGCCCGCACCACCGGCACCGCCACCGCGATAAGCACGGGGCCCACCGTGGCCTTCCAGTGTGCCAACGGGCGCTTCCTCCACGCGTACGAGAACGGATCGGTCGCGTGCTCCGCCGCACAGAACGCGACAAGCAGCGAGACCTTTACCATGCTCGACGTCAACGGCGCGCTCCACATAGCTACGCCGCTGTCGGCCACGACGCTGTCACTGACGCAGCAAGCCATTGCAATCATCAACCAAGCCGTGCCCGACAACATCTTTCAAGCTCTAAGTGACGGCACGCTCCTCAGTGTGATTGCATTTGCCCTCCCGCTCGGTGTCGCCGTCGCACGGTCGCACCACAGCAGCCTGCCCGGCCCGAACGAACTCCTCGCGCTCTTTCGCCAAGCGCGCAACGCGCTTCTGTTGCTCGTCACCGGCACGCTTCGCTTTACGCCGATCGCCGTTCTCTTCCTCTTGACGAACGCGATGGCCACGTATACAAAAGCATCGTCGTCGTTTGCGTCCCACGCTGGCTACGTGGTGCTCTGCTTCTTCAGCGTCGTGCTCACGCATGTCGGCGTCGTCCTCCCATGCGTCCTCTACCTCTTGATCCGCGTCAACCCATATGCGTACATGCGGCAGCTCGTACCTGCTTATGTCTTTGCGTTCGGCTGCTCGTCGTCGATGGCGACGCTCCCTGTTGCAGTCACCGTCATCCATCAAACGCGCAAGGTGACGCGATCCACCGCGCAGCTCATCATGTGTCTGGGCACACCCACGAATATGAACGCCGCGGGCCTCTACCACCCGCTCATGGTCGTCTTCATGGTGTACATGGAAGGCATGCTGAGCGAGCTCACGACACCGAAGCTCGTGATCCTCTTCTGCATCAGTCTCGTCGGCTCGATGGGCACCGCACCAGTGCCCAACGCCGGCTTGATCATGCTCTTGACAGTCTGGAAGACGGTGTTTCCGACCGCGCCGCTCCCGCATTCGTTTGTGTATGTGGTCGCGATGGACTTTCTCCTCGGCCGTATCCGCGTCATGGTCAACGTCAACGGCAACATGATGGCGACGCGCATCTTGGCCCATGGCCTCGACGAGCACTCGACGGACGAAGAAAACAACTACGCGTGAAAGCATCTGTGGTCGTCGAGTAGTGCTGTACAGTAAAACGTAGTACCCAAATCAATGTAGTCTAGCATCGATCCGTGTTGATGTACAACTTGTCTAATATCACGGCGAACCTTATTGCGTAGGAATACGCGAAATCGTACCTTTTAAATCGTACCTTGGAACGCCAATTCCTACTGGAGGTGCAAACCAAGAGCTCCAGAATCACCACAGTTTCAGCATTCCGATGGAAGTACGGGGCAATATACGCTGTGCGGCTGTGAGTGGCGCAGTGGCGGCCACGTGTGAGCCTTTCCAGCGCCGCTTTGTCCACATCCAGATGACGCCGACCCCCTCTTATTCAAACCATGATGATGGTTACCGGTAGCCTCTTCGCGGCAATCAATCAGGGGTAGGGCGGGGTTAGGGCAATTTTGTCGCCGAGACGCACTACAGTCCCGTACGTGCGCCGAGCCAACTTTGCGTCGCACGAGTCCATACCATCCAACGAAGTGGTCCGTGTCCTCCTTGACCCGTCCCAATATCCGCACTCGTTCGGGAAGGGAGCCACCGCTGGCTCGCAGCAGCGACACCTTGACTTCCACGCACACTGCATCCGCGTGCGATCGATCGATCGACGACCGTCCCATTCTCTCATCCTGTCGCAGTAACGGTCATATCTGTCTGCCTCGATTTCAATGGGAAGGCGCAACAAATGATCCATGCACGCAGTGTGTTACGATCAACGTACTAGGACAACCCTTAGGAGCCCAAACTCATGCTGCGGAGCGCGATGGCGGCCGACGTGGTCTCTTTGAAGAAGGCTGCGTCAAGCGTTGCGAGGACGCCATTCGCGTTGCCGTGCATGGCATCGTCAAAAACATACTCGTACGGCGAGCCAAAGATGTCGGTGACCGACCCGCCCCACGCGGTCAAGAACGCTTCGCCGACGCAAATGTCCCACTTCTTCGTGCGCGGGATCCAGCGCGCGTACGCGACGCAGCGCCCGAGGAGAACGTCGAGCATGAGGATGCCCGTCGCGCCCTTCTCCCACCGGCCATGCGTTCCGTCGGCCTCACCCGACGCGAGGAGCGCGTCAATGTACGCGCAGCGCGTCTCGGAGACGCCCCAACGCCGCACGTTCGGCGGCATGGACGGGCGTGGCACGGGCACAAACTGCCACTCGGTGGTGTCGAGCGAGGGCAGGGGGCAGACATAGACATCCTGGACCAGTGGGCCGCCTAGCACACGCATATCGTCA